AATTCGGTCGCCCTCACCGACCTTGTTCACTACACTTACTTTGTAAATTTGTCCGATTGGTTAAAATATTTATGAGTTGACAATAACAGATTCATAAATTATTCCAACGTATCAGGATGAGTGTGCAGTAACAATTAACATTGTCTCTCGCCTACAATATTTTGTTTCACCTTAAGACATGTGAAGTTTTCTGATTTTCTCCAGTCATTGTTTTATTTGCACAGGTAACCCTAAACATGTGTTTGTATGACAGTACTTACTCATCTTTATGGCTGCTTGTATCTTTGATGCTCATAAATATTGAGTCACATTTTAATTGAGTAAGCATGTTTCTACCACTTCTATTGATTCTAATATTACGAAGAAATCTCGATCGATTGAATAGAAACATTCATTATTATGATCATTTGTACCAGTGGATATTTTACCGAACTTGTTCGTTCGCACGTTTTGTACAAACACTTGGTTAGTTGAGCGAGCACCATCTCGCTTCTGTCGCTCTGAAAATTTTCAACCATTTTCTCTGGCACGATTTCGGTATTCTTTCGATACCACGAAATCACCAGCAAATATACTCCATCATCTGGACTATCTCTTCTCCCTGTTTTTGGTTCACGACAGGACAACACAAGACTAGAACGTAAATGGTTTGAAGTGGTGTTCATAGTATACCTCGACTAGACTCACTACACACTCTAGTTCGTTCACATAGTATTTAACTTTGTTTCTTACTGTGTTCACCATCACTATGTATTGTCGTAAGTAATTATACCTCAAATACTTCTGTCTCCAATTTTTTTATGTCTACGTCGAGATAGACATGATTCGTCGACAGATATGCGAAACTAAGTGAGATCTCCATTTCATTGGCATCGACATCATCTGATAGTCACTGGAGTTAGGCAGTGGGCACTAAAATACACAAAAACTATTCTAAGTTGATGTTATCCTTATCGACTATTGCCAGTCTGGTCATTTTGTTTTTGTCCTTGTCCATCATATATGACTAATTTCCTAACATAACTGAAAAGGTTAGATAAGAGCTTTAACGTGAAACTAGGCCCTGACGATTCACCTGCCTTGTAGTTATGATCTCATCACGTGATTTGTCAATATGACATTGACAAACTCCAACCAATCATATATGAGATGACCTTAAAATGCAACTGAACTGAGTTAAATCTACTCTTTCCTATAAATCTTCACTTGTGTGTTTGTCCCTCTCTCATGTGATGTGTAGTCTAGATGAATTGGCCTAGACTTTTAATTTCGTGTAAGTCACTATTCGTAGGGTGAATTACACATCTAAACAAGCTTCAACAATTTACTCTTTAGTCATTACCTTATGCAGTATATATGTATCTGACACAACTCATAATTTGAGGCAATGACTAATTGTAAATCTGAATAGAATTATAGTTTTACCTGGTTTACATATACATTGAGTGTAGTCCCTAATATCATTTGTGCACAGTTTAGCAATGACCACTACGCTTATCTCTGTCTCAATTGTTTTTTTACCATCATGTGATTTTAGATTTTCATCTCCCTCTAACACCCGAACATTTTTAGTCAAGATACAAGATATATGTGTACTTTAGAGTAAATACTTCTAATTGAGTGTTACTATACATTGTTAAGGAAGTTGAAAACTGATCTCAATATTACTACATACACTCATTATGTAGGTTTATATATTCACTATTATCAAGACTGAATGTGTGATATTCAGAAAATTATTTTTTAGGGACAAACAGGATATTATGATCACCAAATTTTATTTAAGTTGACAAAATTATTAGGCCGCCATAGGTTGAAGGACTTTGAACTAGAATGTAACCTATAAACGAACCAATCAGGTTTAAGACAACGGATCCAGTCATATGACCATATAAGAGAGGGTACCGACCCATGACTTTGTAACCCACAGACATGAACTGCATCAAATGTTTTCAGACTTTTCCACTTGTTCAGTGTGTGGGCCCTACCTGCCAGAACAGCATTTTCAGGAAATATTTTATTTCAAACCTAACCAAAATATATGGGCATCAGACCAACCAATGTGTGAGGGCTGCCCGATTTCGTGGAGTCACTCCACAAGCCTTTGACCTAGAGGTTTAATCCACATGACAGTGGCTGTCAACAAACAATAGGGTCATACATCATTCGTCCTCTCAGGATTTTGGAACCGACGTACGCCTTTGGTTCGGGGTCCAGATTTCCCAACGTTTCTAGTAGGATCCACCGTGTCCACCCATCCGGATTAAGCACTGGACACTTGATTTCTGTCCATTCAATTTGCAAACAACATCCCTACTACGAGAAGGCAGCGACACTACGTGCGTGTTTAGCTTTGAGTGATTTCGAAAGGGAGAGTGGATACTTCCCACTCCCGACCGTACTATTGCATTTGGAAACCTCATTTCATGTACTCTTGAATACATCACCAAACGTAAGAATAAAGTGCTATATGTTTCTTTGCTGCGTAGATTAAATATGCACAATATCCCTGAATGGACTTGTCCATTGAGAATGGGTGATAGATACGCCCCCCCCCCCAGTAAAACATCGTGTATGAATCACCGACATCACATAGTCACTTGTCATAAATTTAACCCAGCGAAAATACACTGATTTACTAATGACCTCGTCTAATTGAAGCCAGTCACTAGGTTCATTTGGAATTTCAACAATAAAGCATTAAACTTAGACTAAAAAGCTGCACATAACTCAATAGTTCAAAGTTTCCTTTGTAAATTTCAAGGATTCAACTTATCGTTGAATAAATGATTTTAACTTCTAAAAACTAGTTCATAATCATTAAACATATCTGCAAAATTAAAAAAACTCAATATATTTTTTAATACAGGCTAACAGATCAATAAAATGAAGATTTAAAATTCAAAGTTTATTGATGATTAGAAGTATTCGAGTAAGGAAATGCTAACTAGTGATCCTCAAGATTGGCGGATGTGTCTTACAGTAGTCACGAATGCGCTTAAAAGTACTATTCTGTAATTTGCATTAGGCACGGATTAATTTACAATGAAGGCTGAGGTAAACCTTTCTCCATATATTTGATACAAATTACCGCACATCCCATTCTGGCAATTAACAAATGTTATTTTGTTACTAACTTGTTTTTACGACTCCATCCTTGACAGTTAATTAAACCATGTACTAAAACCCAGTATGTGGATTTAGAAACTTAAACTTCCTTTGTTCAGGATCAGAAATGGTTGTGAATAGCCTTTTCTCACTCGGAAAAGAACTTTAACCGCAACCGATAAATCAAAGCGTGCTAGTCATTTTACTGCTTAACTAAAATAGTTGTCCCTCCGTCGTAATACACAAAACCCAGTAACATCCACCACTGGTGTTAGGAGAGTACATACTATCGTCAGCACAAAAGACTGTGACTTTACGAATGGAAGCAGATAGCATCGGCAATAACTCGAAGTGTAGGATGTTACTTTTCATTGGTTTATATACACTACACCGACAACGCAAGAAATACACCAATCAGCCCCTGGGATGGTTAGCAACAATTTGTCCACCTATCCGGGCTGGGTTAATGACTCAAAATGTCTTATCTTGTTAAAGTTAGTTTAACATGGACTGCACCGACATTTATTGTAACGATGTTCACCCACAATTATCAACAGATTAATGCGACCCGATTCCAAAAATCCCCAGTTCCGACAGAGATCCCAGTGCTCACTTTTGGGCACAAGATCTTTACACTCGCCATCATTGAAGAATCAGAAACTGTGACAAAAACAGATACCAACTGGTACCTGGCTATGAATAATCCCACAGTCCAAGTCTGTGAGGTACATAGGGGTCATATGACCAAGTTAGAGATATTACTCATGAAATCTCTAGGTCCCATTAGCCCGAGATTCAACACCTTCACAACACTAAAAATGCTGGTAAACTGATGACAAACTACAAGCCGCAATCCAGCAAAGTACACTTTTCCGTCGGTGGTAACAGACACAAGGTCTCAGTAAGTAGGTAATACGCACCGAAAGCGTAACCGACCGTATTAAACCCAGTGTCGTACTGTATACAATTGAGTGACGGCACCGCGGCTGTTTCTTCGTAGTGAACAACTGTCGGTCGTGGTCCACACTGCAATTCTCGTAAGTCCCTTCACACGACCAGACCTCAACTCAGACCTGACACCTACAGACACGCGAGATGTGAACGGAAGAACCACGACGCCCTACAGGGAAATGGCCTCAACGGATTACTCCACTTAAGCGTTAACTACAAGCCGCCTATATAATACACCTGGAAACGTAACAAACCTCACGCTGTATACCATACCGAACATAGATCAGGCTTTCTCAATACCAATAACACTGCAATTTGATTAAACACGACACAAACAAGTTGATGTCACACCGATTACAAAAATAACATTACGCTGAGTAGTCATCACATTGAACCAAAGATTGGTGGTGAGCAAGAAACCAACGATTCAATGTTAATCGCATTTCTATTCATTTTAATAATAATATGGATAGACAAACCAGTTACCATAGCAAGTACTACAGTTAGAAGAAGCGTCAAATTAGATAGAGCTAGACGAATGCAAAAATAGACAAGGCAAGTGAGTACTGATCACACGGAGAAGTACATGTATGGTAACTACGCTCATTCAACAACCTAGAACAAATAATGGTAATCCGCAAATGAGCGTCAAAGGAAAGCCTTATTTGCCTTGTAGCTGCTCAGTAACTCATTAATCCATTCTGGAAGCCGCATACATACATACATTGACTGTAAGATGATTATCACTTCAAATAAATAATTGGGTTAACACAGTGCAGCACACAGCTAAGACTCAATGGTTAAACAATAATAGATCCAAGACAAAATCTTTATATTCCACTCTGTTTAGTAATAACCCAACTTAGTCCTTCTATCAGGTGAACAACCGACCGCTGGAAAACCCCAAACACCCACAGCGCTGGACGATAAGAGAACACGAAGACACATAACTTTGTTTATGAAGACATAACAAACATAAATTCATATAAAAACGTATAAAAATAAAGTTAAAATCCAAATGATGAAGTAACATAATGGCAATCATATACAAACTATTACAAAACAGTGGATAATATTAAAAAAGTCAATACGGAACTAGAGTTGCCTAGGATACGGACAATATCTGATTGTGTGAGCATGATCACCGGTCGCACGACAGTTGGGGCATGAAAGTACACGTAACACAGGGCACGTGACGCGACCATCCTGATCCCTAACCTGAAACCAACAATTATCATAATGATAAGTAACGCAATACCAATACAAACAATACTAATTAAAGCTAAACATTTTGAAAAAACCATGACCTTACTTCATGCGTTATGTAAATTTCGGGTGATTCGCCATTGTTCCGGCAAAATGCACATAACACATAATCCTCTTCTAGCTTTCTGCGAACTGACATGAATATTTGTTTAAGAGAAGCAGGCATATCCAAGAGGCAAAAAGAGTTGAACCTAAGGAGGAGACAAAAGTTAGGAAAATGCTTCCGTACCAAGAGTGAAGCTTTAATGTCTCACGATCCCATTTCTTATTTCTATGGGGGAAACGGGATGCTGATCGACGACATCCAAGTGCTTTTGACTTGCTAGTAAGTATGACGAGGGCGGCTCCAATCGCATCACGCAGCGGGAAGTCATCCAAAATATTTGAAAGTTGGAGAGTGGAGTGTTTAAGGTTTGTCGAAAACTTAGAATCGCTTAGCGGGGATACTTCGTTCTTTAAATCATACCCGGATACATCGAGGACCATATTTGAGAGATACTTCTCATAAGCAACCGAGCAATTGAGCTTATTGGCCGATAATTGGTTGGTTTCCCGGGTGCACCGGGTCTGGCCTACATCACCACAGTTGACAGGACAATCTACAAAGACAGATTATCTTTAAATTTCGATTTCAAGTAAGTTAGAAAAAGTCTAATGGATATGACTTACGAATGAAAAGGTTATCTGATCTAGGTATCTGCATTCCAGACTGAATACCGTATTCACGTTCCATGTGAGTTAACGAGTTCCCAGAGTGTACTCCAGTGATGTCAAAAGTCAAATCTCTACCTATAAGCAGATGTGGCGATCAGTTCCGTGACTCAGTCAAGTAATTGGAATTTTAAAAGTAGCACAAAATCAGAAACTCACTTGTCAGACTATTTTCCAGGTGATCGGTATGCGAATCTTGATTGCGAAACATGGATGCAATATTTTCTTCAAAGTGAAGTCTGCCACCAGAAAGACTATCTTGAGAGTCCGGACTTAATGATAGCCTGTTCAACGCATCTAGGATTGGGTCACATACGGATCTGATACAAGTGCCTATAATAAGTCAGTATTAATTTTGGTAATAACATGATATACAAAAAATAGACAAATCCGCAAAGGCGAGACTTACTTTGCCCCACACGTGTAACATCCATCTCGAGAGTCTGAGAATTCTGTGCTGACCACAGGCCACAACACGCAGTCCTGCGGAAATCTAACATCTTTGCAGGTGCTTCATAATTCACATGAAAATATATGGTTGCACTAACCAATAATAAGGAAGTTAGCCAAATTTCTACCTGTATGTGAAGATGGTGATATCATTAATGGGGAAAACCATATTTTTTAGCCAATTAAAAAACCATAATTAACTTTTGATTATTCAGCCAATAAGGAATCAAATCAAATAACTGGCTAGGCTTTAAAACCTGTTACTGGACTACCAAAGACTGCGATTGCAAGCTGATTGGTTGATTTGATATATAATATCGGATCTGATGCCTTGACAACAAACTTACCTGTTGATTTCTTTCTTCTAATGACTCAGTTTTACACCACCATTAGGATGTGATATTTGAACTAAATTCGCAGTAAAGCAAAAAGTTTACTGAGTTGATTTGATCGTAGGAAATACTAACTCAAGCATCATATGAGAATAATAAGTCGAATTGATTTAAAGAGCAGAACTCAAAATTTACCTAGCTATTAAAGTTATGTTGTAATGTGATATATAAATCCGGACACTTTGAAAGTAATTTTCCAAAATAAGCCTTCAAATGTTTCAATCATATTTCCTCAGAGGTGACTTGTAGTTGTTTGCATCTTATAAATGTATGCACTCCTATCTGTCAGTGTTCCTATTAGGATTAGGACCCAGAACGTTGTCCTCTAAGCCACTATACAGTTAGGATCGTGTGTATACCTCGTAAATTTAAAACGAATAAGTCAACTTAGTGATAGTAGACTAGAATGGATTATGGCTAAACTCTACAGATTATCATTCCATTTTTTCTATTAAAAAAAGACAACAATGTATCTACAAGAAACAACAGTCTTCAAATGTAAAATATCTTGTTCACGTAAAATTATAACTATGAAAAATGTAATTACTATTCATAAATAATTTGTACTTATTGAAGTTCAGGCATGTCACACTAGTTCATAAATCTCATAGTTTATGCACAACTTTTACAAATGTTCAAACTGTCAAGCTCATCTTTGCTCAATGCTACATTATACTGTTGATTGATCTCACAAGTTGTAAAAATTCACCTAGACGTAAACATGACACTAACCAATACGAACATAACCAACTATACAATCTTACATGTTGTTTTTTTTATTGCAAAGGGGTATAATAATCCCGCATTTTGTTAAAACAGAATAGTAATGTATATTTGATTCAGCATGATACAGTGACATTAGTTAAATGCATTTACCCAACAGATGACTTACTTTAAATACTGACGATTCTAATAAACATTTAATGTGATAGAATACTAATTTCACACTACTGATTATTCTAACTTATTAGATGGGGTTTATATCTCTTTTTATGTTTAAAATAATACATTACCATTTCAAACAAATATTAACTGCAATTCATTTTTGACTAGATTTGCCAATTTCCATTTATCTATAATCGGGTGTAGGCAGTAACTACCAAAGACAAATGGGTGAGGTTGCGCAAAATCCCTAGATCAATCAGAGTTAGACATTAACACCGTTGGATACCGGCCTAGTGGTCCAGTGGTAAGGCGTTTGCCTACAATCCCAATGGTCCCGGGTTCGAATCCTGTGGGGTGCAGGGATCGTGGATGCGCACTGCCACTGATGAGTCCCATATGAGGACGAGACGGCCGTCTTCCAGTGCTTCCAAGTTTCTAATGGTGATCTAACAATGATTGATTGATAATTTCAAATGTATAATGAATACTTTCCTTTCCCTTATTCAATAGAAATTTTGTAAGAAATCTAGTTCTTATCCTGTCAACTCACAATTTTTAAAACAAGCAGATTCATACATATATATATATATATATGTCAGTAATAAAGTATTCTTTTCCTAAAATTATATTAGTTAATTATAGGGTATCGTTGTTGTTTTTTTTTCTGTTTTTTGGGGGTTTTATTTTGCAATTTTAAAAGAATACTATTGTCAAATGAACACCTCCCTTCTCAACATTTATTTGTTTCATTCATTTGTAAGTATATATATATATATATATATATATATATATATATATTACTAATACTTATACTACTTATATTACTAAGAATAAAAACAATAACTTGTTAAAAATCCTGTTTTTACAAGATGGTTCAATGTTCAGTGTTTTTTTTCTATTGATCCTGTTCACACATGTCCATATTCCCTGATATGCTCACTGGTTCTAAGGAAAATATTCAAAACCAACATTTAATTAGTGTATATATATATATATATATATCCTATTGTATATCTACTACTACTACTACATAGGAATAGACTCAATCTGTATTAATGGTGGTGAATTAAGTTGGTAGATTAATGTATTGTTTTATGATTTCTTATTTCTTTATTGTATTATTGATTTGTCAAGAGAGAGAGAGTTGAGTTGAGTTTTTGTTTAAATTTTGTGAAGCGGTAGGAGGTAAAAGTGATCTTTTTGGGTTATTTTTGTTTGATGTATACATCTACGTATACTAAAATTTTACGTACATAATTTGGTTGAAAAAATATTAGCAGTGTCCTGGATTGTGATATTGTTGACGCATTTAACAATTTAATTCAAACCAAGTTGTAACTCATCTATGTGCAGCTAGCTGTATTTTCTACCACATGAAATCAAACAATCTGATTTGTGTTTCACCTTTCAAATCATTAAAAAATTAATTAATTAATTAATTGACCGCCATACATTGACTGGTAAAGTTTTATAATTAATGTTTACTTTCGTTCCAGTTTACATATATGTTTGAAAGGTAAGACTGAAGATGACCATTGATCGATTCATGGTTTCAAAATGTGTAACTTAACAATCTTCACGACCCCGTAATGCAAATTACCTGTGCTCACTAGTGACTAGCTTCGTGAGGAATCTTCTCCGAGTTCTAGTGGGAAGACGTGACCAGTGAAGTTCAACTTGTTCGGGTGTAGACAGTAACTACCGAATACTGTGTATGAGGTTGCGCAACTCCTTGAATTGATCAAGTTAGATATTAACACCGTTAGATACCGGCTCAGTGGTCTGATGGTTAGTCGTCCGCCTACAATGCCGGAGGTCCTGGGTTCGAATCCTGTGGGGTGCATGAGTTGTGGATGCGCACTGCCGAGGAGTCCCATACCAGGACGAAACGGCCGTCCAGTGCTTCCAGGTTTCTAATGATGGTCTAAGATTGATCGATTCATGGTTTCAAAAATGTGTAACTTAACAATCTTCACAACCCCGTAATGAAGATGACCAGTTAATGCAAGTATCTAAATTACTAAGTTCTGTGATAAATTATTTCATCTTTCCGAATTCGGATAATTACATTAATCTACTTTCAATGCATTAGCAGTAACATTACGAGAAGTATGACATAAGACTCAAGCTTTATAATTATTTTTTGGACATGTTATGGTCTCTAAAGTAAAGATTATGCCTCAATCAACAACACTACTGATACAAACATCTGGCAAATAGGATTAAACTATACATATAAAAGTTATCCTTGTATGAATAGATTTTACTTAGTTTTGTGTACGTTTAAGAACAGTGCGAAATTTGCTAATAAATGTGGTGTTGAGTTTACACTGAAATAGTGACATAATCAACAACATCCTAACATGATTACTTCACTTTTATATGAACTCAAAACTCTTAACAACCCTTACATATTCATCAATGTTGATAACTCATTCAAATACAACTATAACGAAATCGAAATAACATTCAAACTTTTTTTTTTCCAATTTAACACAATTGAACGGTTGACAAACATTTTGGATCAACACATCTTCAAATATCAAAGCAAGGGAATGGCATACATTAAAGTTCAGTCAAGTCATAGGAATACAGTAAAATCCAGACATCATCATAATATTGTCACATGATGTTCAGAAAAAAAACAAATAACAGAGCGAAAATAGGGTTTAGTACTATATTTGACCGCTCAACTAAAACACAAAATGCGAGTCAAGTTATTCACACACCACAACTACCCATAATCTGTGAGTTCTACTCAAAAACTTAACTTTTGACTTGTAATATCATGACATCAGTGATATTATGAATCATCTTACACTTAATTGAAACAAAGGCCTATCCTCATCAGTATATTATACCCTCTATTCTCTGTTCCAAATGATAGTTTTTTCTCATCTCATTGTCAAGTGCATTGAAATAGTCATGTTTGATCGGGTGACACATATCTAAGCCACATATTATTAAACTGGTAGTCTAAAGAAATTCTACTGTATTTGAGTAACCTAGTCAACAAAAGGATAACATTAGACACACATGTATGATTTTATTCAGGTAATTGGATAATAGGTGAATCTTAGTTTATTAACTTGTTGAGTCAAAAGCTAATGTAGTTATTTTTGTTTTGAGATATTCCACATGTTACCAAGTCAACGAAATACAATTCGAAGCTAGAGTAATTAGAATTCAGACTGTTTCTTTTTGATGCAGTTGTAAGTTAACTAGCTCAACAACATAGGGCTCAACCCGACCCGTTACACACACAGACATGTCCTGTAAAATATAGTAATATAATTTCGTTTGTAAGCCAATATGAATGTGATCACTTTACATAAGTTACAGTTCATTAAGAAAGTATCTCAAATGTTAGGATAAACGACAAATCATTTGATTACTCATATGTATTGGTCTATGGTTGTAGACGTTTTCAGTGTGCATCGAGGTAGTAGTTACTAGAGTTTCCTGTGGATTTTCAGTTCATTCGATAAGTGAGCGTTACATGGTAGAGTGTATTTAACTAAATTAAACAGCTTATTTTGCAAGTATTACTTGTATTACATCTGTAATTTCATCAAAATTGTTGGGCATCGTTATAATTACTAAATTCGATCTACCGTTGTAAATACATTCCATGGGACTGTACAATAATCGTATGGTCTGTCATACGCTACTACTAATACATCAAAATTCATTTATATATATATATATATATATATATATATATATATATATATATATATATATATATATATATATATGGCTTCAAGTAACACTCTAAGAATGAGGGTAACATACTAGCTAGTTTTACAAACGCAATCAGATATACTGAAGTTAGAACTTGAGACTCAAACAATGGATATTTTGACTATAAGTCCACACACACACACACTCATTTATTTGTCATCAAAGAGATGTGGGAATTGTTGAATTTCACTGAAA